CCTGGAGCGGTGCGCGATGCTGTCTCACGCCGACCTCCTGGACGCCCGTCTCGGTGAGTTTCCCCCGGCACCCCCCCGCCCCGCGGCGGCTGCACCGGCGGCAGCGAGTGGGGAGGAAGCCGGGGCAGGAAATTGACAATTTGTTCCTTATTTTACCTTAATGCGATCTAAATGGGCTAATTCCTTTAAAAGTAATTGTACTGTATTAAAGTTTAATTTGATTTAACATAAAAAAGAAGAGGGAGTGAGACCTACAGAGTATGTAGATCTACAGCGAGTTGTGGATCATTTAATTTTTTTCTCCCCTGTTTATATATATATATACCTACACATTATGATGATGATGATGATTATTTTAGGACAGATGAGCTCTATAGTGTTTACGGAGTTCTAGGTGGCCTCTTCCTCCTCGCCTGTTCGCTTTTCTCCTTCCTTCTTTTCCTTTTTTTAAAAAAGAGAAATATCTGTATTCGTCTATTTACGGTTATTCGTGAGTTTGTTTAGAGGAAAGGAGAGAGAAGAGGGGAAAGATCGGCTAGACAGACCGAGGTCCCCGCGCATCTGTCGGAGAGGTAATGCTCCCGGCAGCAGGGCGGTTCGAGCCTTATTTCTTTCTCTCCGTCTCTTTCTCTTACCAGCTCCGCTGGAAAACCCAAGTTGAACCCGGTAAAACTTGCCCTCCCCCTCTTCCCTTCCCCTGATCTCGCATGGGGAGGCCGGACAGGGAGCTAGTTATTTCAGCAGGAAGAGGTGTAAAGTTTTCCCTCCTCTGCCCGGGTTGCGCTGGGCCGGGGTCTCTGTGCGTCGCGGAGCCGAGCAGGGTTGAGGGTCTGGCGGGCGGCTGGGGGACGGCGGGGCGGAGGCGGTGGCTGGATGCTTCTCGCCAGCTCAATGCGTTGGAAAGCGGCTCTGATGAATCCATGCCTGGCAGCAGAGGAGTGACTGCCGCTCCTTTGCTTCCGCAGGGATGAAAGATGCGGCTGAGCTGCTGGGACATCGGGAGGCGGTGAAGTGTCGGCTGGGCGTAGGGGGCTCGGATCCGGGGGGACACCCGGGAGACATGCCTCCCAACTCGGACACGGTGGAAGGGACCACCCTGCTGCCGGGGGACGACATCACCACGGTGGGATCCAACCCCAGCTCCCTAGCCGTCAGCGCCAAAGACGCCGACAAGCAGCAAGGCCAGCAGGGCGGCCAGAACCCCAGCCAGGCCGGGCAGCAGCAGGGGCAGCAGAAGCAGAAGCGGCACCGCACCCGCTTCACGCCGGCGCAGCTCAACGAGCTGGAGAGGAGCTTCGCCAAGACTCACTACCCGGACATCTTCATGCGGGAGGAGCTGGCCCTGCGCATCGGCCTCACCGAGTCCCGGGTGCAGGTATGAAAAGCCGCCCCCGCGCAGTGCCCACCGGCCCTTCCCCAGTCACACCGACGGCGCGGCACAGCCGGCCGGCGGCGAGTCCAGTCACGACAGGGAGGGGGGGGTGGGTGCCCCAAACCTCAGCCCGATGACGGGGAAGGTAATCCAGTCCTGAAAGCAACAGTTTGGCCAGGAAGCCTTGAAAACAGACATCCCTCGCCTCTCTTTCCGCAAAGCTGTCGCCTTGGGGTATCCCCTTGTCCTCTATCCTCCCACCTACAGCGCGGTGGTCCCGAGCGGGGCACGGGCTGAGCTCCACGGCCCGACCGCGGCAGAAAAAAGTCCGGGGAGGCACAGCCTTAGAGGAGCGAATCTCAGCCCTCGCAATAGCCCGGCGCTAAGAGTCGAGCCGAACCGCCGGGGAGTGACCGCTGTTCCACCGTGGAGTCTGCCGGCGGCCGCGGTGCCGCTGTCCAGGGTACTGCCGGCGGCACTGCCGGGAAGAGGCGTCCGCCAGAGACGCGGGCCGTGAGGGCCAGAGTGGAAGGCGCGGGAAGGCACATCGGCTCATGAAAAGGCACTTACGTAAAAGGCAGTTGTATTTGAACTCGGAGTTTCCCCATACTGGCTTTTAAAAAGCCTGAGGACGGCGGGGGTAGCGAGTGTCTTCAACATCTAGGGTGTACTTTGTTTTCTAAAGTATATATATCTACATAGGTACATAGACACACACACATATATATACATATATATATATTTGCACACAGGACCAGAGGAAACTATTTAGGCAAATAAATGTAAACAAAATTAGGAAAAGGGGCAGAGGGATCAAAGCGCTACACTGCTCAGATGTGGCTTTTGTGTTCACAAGGTTATTTTGGTGACTTTCTAAGCGAGTCCATCCCCAAGAACGAAAGCCTGCACAGTAGAAGTACTTGTGGGATGTGCATCCCAGCTCAGTACAGCCGGGACTGCCGCCGTACTTTACTGCGGTCTCTGTTCAAAATCCCTCTCGGCAAGCATAGGCTCCTCAGCTAAATAAAGACACGTCAAGAGAAATCCCTAAATGAACGTTTTAATGAACAAAAACAGATTCCATTCTTGAATGTGACAGAAAAAGCACGTCTGCTTTTAAAAAGTAAAACAATTTGACTCTGTCTTCACAGAACTATAATTAGTTTAAATTAAGAAAGAAATTAGATTCACAAATAAAATATAATTGGACAACTGACTCTATGAAAAAAAGAAAACGAGGTCTATTAAACTTTATTGGGTTTCTCAAAGGTTAATGATACCAATTTCAATATTAGGAGTGTGGTAAATGAAGTAAAATATAAAATGGAAACAGTTATTTTCTAACAGCACATCAAAGAAATTCGTAGGAAGAAAGACAAAATGTTTTAATGGCATTGGCATAATCTTAAACCAATGCTAATAGCTCGAGACTGCTGATAAAAACAGTTTAATAGAGTGGCAATTTAAATATTTTTTACAATAATGTTCTGTAGTTTAAAAAGTAATCAGATCAACATAACCTTCTTAATTAACACTTCAAAATGATTAACATTATGTAATCTAAGGAAAAAATTATTTAATGTATTTACTTCACAATCCAATGTATCACTGCTCCTTGACCAAATTTAAATTAAATAGTAATTGGTTTATGTTCTTACAAGAGTACTTTACAGTTTTCTTTATAGTTAACAGATTGCCTACATATTCCTTCCAGGACGTGGGCTCCACACTGATTAAGGGATGCTCCAAATACTTAATTTATAGCTGCTGTATATATTTTTAAGGGTTTTAGATGCTAGGATAAATCACCACTTTCTTCATTTTAGATCTGTATTTAATGTATATGATACATTTAAATAATTATTAAAGTGGCTGATGCTTAAACGGGAGTCCAATTCCACATCTGACATTGCTCTGCTTTTCAGGCTGCTGTAATAAAACCATTCTTTTTATAGCATGCCATTATTAGAAACCAATTTCAAAATTATTTATAACCTAGAATGGCTTATTAAGCAGCAATGCGAGAATCATGCAAATTATGCGATCAAATGCAATATAATAAGCATAATCATTAGTCTCTAGCACGGATTAATTAACTTTCAATATTTTATTTACATAAAAACCAAATCAGTGAAATAACTTCTGCACAGTCAGGCTTGCCTTCCAATATTTTATACGAACAAAAATAATGTGCTGTAATTCCATTGACCGTGTCCCCCACAATGGTCCCGTCACCTGCCACATCTTAATAGGGGACAAGCTGAGAGTATTTTCTAGTTTTCTAATGGAATGAGAAATTGCATTTTCTTTCTCTCCCAGCACTATTAAAGTGTAATGAATTCGGCCTAGAGTTCACGGCTGGCTGATCGAAATGAACCTGAGATCTGAGCTTTAATACAGCTCTCCAGATTTCCTACCAAATCTTCACATTAATCATCCGCTGGATTCCAATGAGATCTTCATAAAGCTTCTGCTCTTAAAAAAAAAAAAAAAAAAAAGAGAGAAAAAGAAAAACTAAAATGATATTGTTTCTCCTTTCTTTTGCTTTCTCTCTCTCACCCATTTATAGCTGGGGAATTAAATGGGCTATATATTTTAAAATACATTTACAGTATGTCTATATTACTGTAACAGCAGATATCATCAAGGTAGATTTTTAGATTCCAAACTCCATTAGATTCTCACTGTTGTATTAATAATTTTCAGGGGCTAGTTGCATTTTAAAAGGAGTCCAAAGTTGCCAAACGCTCATGGTTAATATATTTCTAGAGTTGTCATGTGTGCATTTTCAAAATCTCCCCCAGGTTTTCCCTGCATTTTAATCTGTCATGCACCAGTTTTCAATTGGAAACATTCACATTTTAAAAGCATATGCAGCGTAGCTATGAGCTTAGGCGATCAGACCCGATGGAGATTCTTTACACCACCAGCAAACCATGAAACATAAAAAGATTTTGTAGCCGCAATTTAACTATTAACCCTAAAACATAATTGAACGCGATTTTTAGATTATTCATATAATATTTAGCTCCCTCACGGCTGCTCATTCCCGCTAATGGGCATATGCCTTTCTCAGTCTGGGTACGGAGCCTGAGACTGTGGAATCCGGCAGGTCGGGGCACTGCGTTCCTTTGGATTTCAGGTGGACGCGGTTTTTCCCGGCTCGTGACTGTCTCGGTTGCTTTCGGCCGCGGTGAGACGAGACCCATCAAGTCAGCCCTGA